ACGATATTATACTGTGCTAATGTCATGTTTCATCGGCTATCCAGTTTCCATGCATTTATCATCATTAGATCGAAATAAGCATCACTGTCAATACTGGCACTAACGCCAGAATAATAATTTAAAAATTAAAATTCTTCTTAGTAATCAGAACAGTGCTCGCAGTCGTTTTGATCTTAAAAGGCCGATACATTCATAAATAGCAACTCCTTCAAAGAGAATCACCATCTGTCGCTTTTTTCTTGCGGCTGCTATGTTGTGTACTCTTGTTTTAGTACAGATGTAATAAATGCAGCGTCGATCATCTCACTCTTGCTTCTAGTGGATAAACTAGCGTAATTTCCTCCGGAACACAAGTAAAAGAAAACTAAAATAAGCTTCCTATAAAAGGACATGCCATTGATGCTAATAAATTTGGTTTCGCAGAGACTAAAGATCATAAACCTTTTCGATTTTACAAAAACCATGGCATTGATACTAAGTTTCGATCATTTTACGCGTAGCTTAAACACACTCCAACCTGGCTGATATTGGTATCCTTTTTTGTTATATCTTTTTTGGAGTTTTGCTACTTATTCTGTCCTTTCCTGAAAAGTTTTAACTGTCAATAAGTTGGCGGTCACCGTCGTATTTGTTTATTTATTTATTTACCGCTCATTCTACTATTTTTTGTTTTTAGACCAGGCATGTGCTATCATCACTTCTTTATTCAAATCAAAGCGCTCTTTAAACATTTTGTCAAGCTTTTCGATGTGTAGGAGTTACATTTTAAGGCATATTTAGCTACAGTGTTGTAAAATGATCAAACATGAAAACTACTTTTATAAAAAAATGAAGCGAAATTTCCGGATTTTAGAAAGACCATCAACGGTCCGCCTATGATCATTCTTTAGTCATTTTATCATTATTTCATAAAAAATGCAAATATGATATAAAAGTCGCATAGAAACCGGATAAGAACTTGCACATAAATGATGCTAAGCTAATTGCATAAAAATAGCCTTAAAATGAGCATTACTGAATGATCATTTTTTGCGCATTTTTTTATGACTTGATCACTAATGGCTAATTTTTATAGCATTTTTAATAATGATCATAAAATGACCAATAAATGAAACAATTTCTAGGCTATTTTTATATCATTAGTTGATCATCCTTCTGTCATTTGGCCATTAATATCTCATTTACATTCACTTGAGAAGGATATACGCTTTTGGAATCAGGTTAGCTATTCTGGTTTTCTGCAAAATCCTGCGAAACGAATTTTTATATATTTAAATGTACATTACTTAAGTAATGTACTTATGGTATTAATTAACCACCATAAGTTTACCTATTATTGTTAGAAACTGTCAGAATATCTAAATGCTTTTATTTTTCTGAGATGGAAGACACCGATTTTAGATGTGAGATAAATCCAAACATTTTTTGATTTCTGGCTAAAATAACATGAGCATTAGAGAGAGCAGTCTTTGTTTATTTTGTATGCTGACAGTATATTAACAGTGGAATACACATCAGAGAAGATGCTAAAAATGGGCATGATTGACCGACGAAATTCCCTTGAATTCCGTTTCGGTTATTTGATGAAACATTACATATCAAATAACTGAGAGAAAAAATTATAACTTTTACGCATTTCACAAGTTAAAATAAAAGTATACTGTAGTAGAAACGATCATGAGAGAAGATTGACTGTAAAGAGAGCAGTAGAAAATTTCCTTTTGCTAAGAGTGGATTCTCCAACTGATGAAAAATATTTGCAATTTCAATGCGATTTGAAATTATTATAACAGTGTTTCTAAATATATGATCACAAAACTAAATATCAGATGGCAGCACTTACTTTGAAAAAAGTGACAAAAAAAATAAAGTCTTTCTGAGGACAACTTCATATCTGTAGCAGAAAACGCATTACAAAAATACGGTCGCACCGCGATTTTTAAGCAGCAATTTAAAACAAAAAAGTTATCTTCGCGATCCGGGCTTGATCACTTTAAGAAAAAACATTTAATTTTCTTCGTTTTAGAAACTAGTCAAGGTGCATTTGAACGAGAACTAAAAGAATTTGAAGAAAATTGTTCACCATTAATAGAAACAATTAATAAAGATGAAGATGAAATGCCTGGTGGTTCAGAAGAAGCAGTTGAAGGTGCTGGTGGAGAACAAGAACTAACAATTGGATTATTCAATAGTTAACCAAAAAAACAAGGTGTTCGATCTAGGTAAAAACTTTTTTTTCTACTTTAAAATTATTCTATTTCTTTTTCTTTCTGTCATTTGACATGTTTTTTTTACATTTGCCAATGATGCATCAGCAGCTGCTGCCTGTAAACAAGCATCGAGTATGACGTTAAAGAATACAGATAGGTAAATAGAACTCACAATTTTGCGTATGATGGTCTAACTTTTAATCACAAAGGTGAAAGTTCACCATTGAAAAAAGTTGATGTAGTTTGTACCAGCCATTTTGGCTGTGTTGACCAGAATTACCCCAACAGTAACCGTTCACTGACCAGAATTGCCCCAAATGGAGTAAATCCGGTCATTTAAAATCAATCGACTGGAAATTGATCAAAACTAATTACCTCTAATGAATGTTAACATGATTTTTGTATCAGTCAATAGCTACGAATCAGATCTATCTATTTGTACAAAACCGTTTTTCTCTGGTTAAAAATGACTTAGGTATGAGCAAAACACTGAAAAGATTTTTGAGATTGACCGAAGATATGCCGAGTTACTCTATGTGTACACTATGTATGATAACTACTTTACTAACTACTACGATAAAACTTCTAAAAAAGAAAGTAGAATCTCAGAGCTCAGTAGAAAAGCTTAGAAAGTCGTAGAACACAGAAAAAATTTGGTCCACCCCTTACCAAAATCCTGGGTACGTTGTTGTCCAATGGTGAGGTTGAACAGGTTTTTTAGATGAATTTTTTGGTTGGTAGGGTTTCTAGAAGTCCGGAGTTTTCAGGAACCTATTTCTTCGAATCCGAAGATGGGTCATAAGTTTTATTGATCGATTTATATATACAGGCAAGAATTGTTGTTAAAACTTCATCTATTTGTTTAACAAACATGTTCACTAATTTCATACAATCTTGTTTTTCTTCTTGATATAGAGATTGTAATAATGGCATAAGTCGGCAAGGGATAACATTGCTGATCAAGTTGAAAGATTTTATCTTTATATTGACCATTTGTTAAATAAGAGCGTCCTCAATAGCCTTGATCTACTCGCTGTGCTCGTTTAAACAACCACATGATAGGACCATGAAAAACAAATTTTATTTTTGAACATCATTCTGCATGAAACGATTTATCAGTTAATTTCGGAAGATATTTCAGAACAGTTGAGAATAATTTCATTGATAACTATGTAAAAGAATATAAACATAACAGAGTTCGAGTTAAGAGATTTACTGACTAATTATCACGATTCGATCCTAATGGTAAAATTTGATTATCTGTTACAATACAATACGAATTATCATTGTCTCCGATTGAAATGGAGCAACAAGAAAGTATATACTCAACATTCCGCTGTATTATAAACAAAAGAGGATTATTATCGTTAGCCATCCAACCCCTTGCTTCTGGTACTTGATCTGTTAATGAAGAAAAGATAAGTTTCTTAGAAGTAGATAAGTCATAACAAACAAAAACTATTCGATGTTGTTGGAGATTTAACTCGAGTTTGCCTGTCTGATTGTATGAGGCGCAACTATTTGTAGATGGTTTTGAATTTGGAATAAATTGTACTTGCTGTTCATTATCAATAGATAATGACATTAGAAGTTTTGATGACAAGTTGAAATTTGGAATGGAAATTTGACTGATGGTAATACGAAGAACAGTATGAGTTGGCGGTATTTCAATTGGTTCAGCTTCAGTCAGTTGAGCGTAACTTGCACAATTAATATTAAACTGACCACTAAAATCATACTGAATTGTTTACGTGTTAATATTACTCATATTTCTGGTTTCTATTTGATTGATCACTGAATATTGTTTACTTACAAAGAAAAGACTTTTGATTTCTATATTATTATTAATATGGGAAGTGAATAGTGGCCAAGCTGGCTCTACAAATTGTGATTTCCTTATCATATATGTCTTCCATTCCTTGAACTCGAAATCCGTAGCCATGATTTTCGCTGTCAAGTAGTTTCTCTCGATATTTTCGCACAAATGATGCATTGTAGAATTGATCATTAGGAAATTATTCAAATAAAGTGACTGTAATATAACCAACCTGAGAATGATAACTATTGAAAAGGTGACAGAACGCAAAAGTAACTATGTTGTAAAGTGATCATATATTCATTCATCCTATTTGTACCATCCCTACTTATTTTTTTGACATTTCGTTTTGGTTCAATTCAATAATTATCTCTCAAAGAGTTGCAGCGAACAATCAAACAAAACCTGATCTATCTTTTAACGATTATTAGTTTATTCATTATGGCTAAAATCAATGATTATTTATCCACAAACATATGTTTTCTACCTTCATTGAAGGTAGAATGATGAGCTTATCGACTTATCAGCAAGATTTCTATTAATGAACGTCATCTGTACTGTCGAAAAACCATTTCGATTATGTAGTTTGATCTTTCTATGCTGGCTTTGGTTAGAGGTCTTAAGGATACTTTGCTGAAAAATTAGGGGAGATATAATTTAAAAAATAAATTCTAATTTTTGCATACTATGTGATATGGTGATCATTTATTCACTCATCCTATTTGTAACATCCCTATTGATAATTTTTTTCTAACGATATTTATGGCTTACGCACAGTAGGCAACCAGAAGAACATTTAGAAAAAAAACTTACTTTCATCTTTCAAGTTTTGATCGGTGGATCATTTAGATGGATATGGTGACTATATTTCCCTAGAATAACTCTTTTATCTTTACGGGAACAACGGGAAAATCCGACTAGACAATTATCCAGAAAATTATCCAGATTGAATGTTAGCTAGGATAGAAAATATTTTCCACACTAGGAAATGTTTCCGAAACAGAGGTAGTCAGTGCAATGAGAGCGCACCCTTTAGCCCGCTTTCAGTTTTGCTCTACCTTTGCACCTTACCTTTTTATGTGTACTGCATCTATAAGATTAGCATAAAAACGTGTAAACGTTCATGGACGACCGTACAGTAGATATCTCAGAATCCCCTAGTTTCTCACGTGAAATCAAATTTTCTCATTTCGGAAACATTTTAACTCAAAACCTAGGTGAAATTTAGAATCAGCGCAAAAAACTGCATCAAATCATGTATCAGACAACATATTTTTAAACGAAAAGTTGATATTGAAAAAATTTCTTCTGAGGTCTAAATTTGAGAAAAAACAGTTTCGCCAAAAAAAATTCTGAGTCAGTCACTCGATACACCGTGTTTGAAAAACGTAGAAAAAGTTCATTGTTGAGGTTGCTGAATGTACTTCGTAGTCTTCTCCACCTACTATGCAGAAAATACCCACTCTGTCTTATGATCGGCT